ACCTCCCTCCGCCCCTCCTACTCATTCAATCCCTTCTCATCCGTCATCACCTTTGCGCGGCGAGCCCGCGCGCCTTACCCCATCCACCCGACAATGCGGTCCCGTAGGTTCGGCGTGCCGTGCATGTCCTTTGGCCATGTCATCATGTCATGACCACTATGTGATCGCGTGGCCTACGAGGCTCTGCTGACATGTCCACCCATAATGTGGCCACACGGTCACCGGGATAGTGAGTCATCCTATTTGGGTGGCCGCGCGCCCACGACCCATGTGTCCAGCAGTGTGGTCGTAATTGTGACATCAAAATTTGGGCGCCTCGTGCTCCCATGCCCCCTACGACTGTCCATGGATGTGGTGAGGCCGAAATTAATTCGAACGGAGCTGAGTAGGCTTCTCGACCAAAAAAGCTATGGGGCCCAACTCGTCATCGACCGGTGCCCACGACGTCGCGCCCTCCCCTGCGAGTGACTCGTTGGCGAGGTGAGGCGAGGGCCATTGCACGCGGCGCCCCGCGAGGCACGCTGTGCGGCGGCAGCGGCGGCCAGGTCGGATTACGCGAAGGTCGCGAGGACGGCTTGTTTATGTTTAATTTGGGTAAGTGATGTGGCTCTGGGGATGGAGGGGTGGGGCAGGGCAGGGGGGTGCACACGGTCAGGTGCAGCGTGAGGTCCTCGCCCCCCCCCTTCCCCCCGCGCTCCTCTCCCGCACCGCTTCGGCCTACTTAGCCTTTCTGCGCCTCAGAATGTGACGCGGCGCCTCCTAGACGACGCGGGAGGCGTCATTCAGGCGTGGCGTGGCGTGGCGCCGTACCACCCCGCCACCCCCCGCCACGGGCCGCCGCGTGTAACCAGGTCGACAAGTGTTTTCCAGCCTCGGGAGTACGCGGGCGTGGTTATCACGGGCAAACTAACACAGCCATTGCTCGGCGCCCCGCCCCGCCCCACCCCGCCTATTTACGGCCAAGACGTGCCTCGCGGGGCCGTTTTGTTACTGTGTTTGCGTCTCCGTGTCGCCTGCTCCCGGCCAGCGGAGCCAGCGGAGCCAGCGCTGAGCGACAGAGATGGGGTGCAGTGCCGTATGGAGTGGGGGAGGTGAGGTGGAGGAGCCTCGCTCCCAATCCAACAAAGTGCACCGAGCACAACAAGCGGCGCGGAAAACACCGCCTGCTGGTTAAGCCATATAGGCGCCTGCCGGGCCGAGGATAGGCAACCCTGACGCGGGGACGTGCGCAGTTGTCACTGTTGTCAGTCACACCTAGCCAACCGGCGCACGCTTCGGCTTGGCGGAACCGGCCTTCCAGGCAGACAATGTCCGCAGTGGTCACTTTTGGCCCTCGGCACCCAGGTCATGTCTGCTGTCGTCCACACCGGTCCACACGCTCGGATGAGGTCGGGGGCCGCGGGAGTGCGGGCTTCCCCCGAGCAGGTGACCCTGCACCGGCCGGCCAAAGCCAACCGGGCCGAGCCGGAGGAACACGTCGCCCTCGTCCTTTAGCTATCCTCCCCGGGGGCCGCGTCGGAACACGCAGTATACCCCCGCGCCGACGCGGCACGGCGCACGGCGGCCCACTCGACGCCGTCTAGACGTCGTTGTGGTCGTCGAAGCAGTTTCAATCCTTTTCACCACCCCCACCACTCCTCCTTGGTGTTCTTGCAGCGGCGGCATCCCCCTGACTGCCCCTCCACATGCTACCCCTCACTACCCCCATCCTGTGGGCTGCCCCTCACTACCTACCCCACACTCACTCGCTAGCTGCCCCTCACTACCCCCATCCTGACGGCTGCCCCTCACTACCCCCATCCTGTCGGCTGCCCCTCACTGCCTACCCCCCACTCAGCGCCGGCCGCGCGGCACAAGCGGGTTATTTATCTGTAGCGAGCGGCGTAATTACCTCGACGAGTTGCTCGATACCGTGTGTGTGTGTGGTGTTTGGCAGCGGCGGCCCTCGAGCCCCGCGGCCCGTAGAGATACCGCCCCCCCCCCTC